TTTTGAACAATATTACATTGTGTACAATCGATCTTTGATTTACGTTATATTAAAGTATAAACTCAAACACGAATAAACAAATCGGTAAAATGTTAAAAAAAAAAAAAAATCGAATTGTTACACTGAAGTATGCACGGGGCACGGACATAAGAGATTAACGCTGTGACGAGTGATAACACTGATAACATATTAACGTAGACCTACACTTATACTGAGTTAGTTATATTAGTATAAGGTAATGAAAGCATACAATTAATTCCGCGATTAAAGATGATTAGGTTGTGTGGTGACGTTAAAACAGTGGCCACGAACGTGTTTTACAAACTGATTGCACAGTGGCGCTCTCTGCCAAACAGCCAGAACACACTTTACATTCAAAGTTTGAAACGGTATTTTCATATTGTAATAATATATTTTTATCGAAATCCGACGTTTATTGGAAAAAAAATGTTTTCAAAACAAAAAAAACCTCCGATGTTCTCAATATCGGCCGATATATAATTGCGCCGATACTCACCACTAGTATTTATAGTATACTAGATAATAGATCCTCGTGGGAAAAAATCGGAAACTCCTCGCGCGTGTTCCGGAAGCCGAATTCGGAGATCGTTTTAAAACATCCAGTTAATCGAGGGCAAAACAATTTCTGTTTGATTATTGTTTTTATAATAAACCGGTCGATCGACGAAGGATACATTTCTTGTAGATGCATGAAGATTTTCGCCTCTGAATAACGATAATAATAAATTATTATTATAACCAAACGGTTCACGGAAACGATAACGAATATAATACGCGTCAAAAAAAAAAAAAACACGCACACATGCGCACTGCGTACTGATAATGTATTATACCTACTTGGCCGTTATTATTAAACTGCATTTAAGCAGTAATAAAATATCGTGTACACCTTTGATGGGTACCTAACCTAACCTTCATAGTGATTCCCAAAATGTTTCGACTCGCGGCGCACTTTTCGTACTAAAATTTTCTCAGAGCACCCTTGGAAATTATCGCGATCGAAAAACGATTACGATTTGAGTGGTCGATTAATCGATGTCATTTTTTTAATTTTCGGTTTTCATAATAGGATAAATTATTACGTAGGTAATCGTATGAAAGAAACTTGGCTCCGAATCGTTTTTCGTTAGAGCAATGGTTTGTCGTTGCGTACAGATAGGAATCGAATTCCCCTCTATATCCTGCAGTCTTCCCAACTTCTCACCTACAACAGCGACCCGCCCATCGCGCGATCCTTTAAGGTATAGTGTGAATAATTTCGAGCATTTTTACTAATCGAAAAAGCGTTTTTCAACGAAAATGATTACCGCAGAAGAAGCTCTCAGCTCTCGTGATTAAGCGTGTGTCCGCTGCTGTTTTAAAGGCGATGAATTTTTTTTTTTTTACCCAACAATGATGTGCTCAACGCATACAGCCGAATGCCGTTTTTCATTAATTCGCTTACGTATGTATATATATATATATATATAAAAAAAAATACTTATTGTCAATCGATTTTATTTGCAGACCAAAAAACTTGACTTTTTATTGTTAATTTTTTTTTTTTTTCAATTTCAATTTATTGTTATTAGATATATTTGAAATGTCCATTTACATTGCGTTTGATTACGAACGCATCGGTTTTATATTATGCAAACAAATTTAAAATTCACACACGCACACACACGACGCATATTCATTCGTATGGTTTCGTTTTTGTGTCGACAAATACGTATCGTTGGTTTTTTTTTTTTTTTTGCCACACAAATAAATAATATCGTAATAGGATGCGAGCGGCTTTTGTTTTACTAGTAGCTTATTTAAACATACCGGGTACGTAAAACGAAGAATACCCAATGACGGCTTTAATCAATTTAAGCGATTTTTTCGACAAAGATGTGGACGGAGCACGCGATTCGCACGATCGTGTTTATTGACACTTGTACTCGTTATGATATTATTATTATTATTATTATCAGCCGACAGGTCGCTGCGGCACGTTTGGAAAAATATGTCGATAGGTGTGTTTTGCCGCAAATTATAATTTTACGAAGAAAATACGTTCGGTTATACTGAACGTTACACACTATACAACACGCAGTACACTATTATCGCGATTATTATGTTCTTTGACATCTGTTCTTCATTATGTCTATGAGGTTTTGAGAACGATAATCGCGACAATTTACGCCGATAAAGGGAATATCCCAAACAGCCACTTTTGTTTATTGCCTCGACTACCTCCGATTCCAGCGATGAGCTGCTCGTCGACGCGATGTTTCCGTTGTACTCCCGTCGCGGGTTTTTTATCGACTCGATTTTGCGGGTTTCCATTCGGGACTACGGTTTCCCTGGAGCAGTACCGGACCATCGGGTAAAACGTTAGGTTTTCCTGTACTACCGTGCAGTGGCGGATTCGGTTCGTCTTCCAAAGGGAGGGGGGAGAGAGAGGTCAATATCATTTTGGTCCGAAAATTATACTTTTTTACTAACATGACCAGACGTCAGGCAGTCAATGTGATCCCTGACCACTTAATGTGATAACACAACTATCTGCAGAGGCTGTGATTATAATTTATTAACACTCTGAACTTCTATAGAGATTTCTGAGAGAAATTATTATCTATAGGTAGTGTGATGTCTAGGGGGGCGGGGGAGAGCTATGACCCCTAGGTCCCCTAAACGCCGCACCTGCCATCGTGTTATTATCTGATAAATAATTCATCGATTGAATGCGGTCGTATTCGTTAATTACATATTATTACCGAAAAGTCGTATTCACGTGTTATTGTACCATAACGTGTTGAATTTCGGGTCGGTTTTAACCAAACTGTCACGGTCCGCCGATAGATACGGCGTGCTCGCGTTTTTACAGTTTTTATCGCGGTTATTAAATTAATTTTACAATATTTGACAATAGATCATTAAATCGTAAAATGAGGAATTGCTCAAGGAAAACGACAAAACTCGGTTTATAATATGTGTATACAGAAAAATATGTTTGGCAAATTGTAGGTAGGTACATAAGGCACATAATATTTACTATTGCTTGTATTTGTAATAATTATACGAGTTAAATAACCCGCATATTATTATAATGTACGTCCGTAGAACGACAAAAAAAACCTATCTAACCGAAGGTCAAACCGAGTTTAAAATGCAATACGGTCAATGACTTTATTTTATTCGGAGTACAATTAAAATTGAGAAAATACATTTTAAATTTGAAGTGTATATATCTATAATAAAAAAAAATTATATAAAAACAATATAAATTGCAAAATACGTAAGTATTATTTTTTTTTTTCAAACAAGCGTCATTAAATAAGAGCGTCCATTATATTAATTTTAAATTCCGAGAGAAGTCAGGAACGCATTAATTTGTCATGATGTATTTTTGTGTGCACGTGTGTGATTGTGTTTACAACTTTTCTTCCAAAAAACATTGTTCAATAAAAAACTTGAAAATTAATTTTCTCGTAACATTTTTGATCTAATCAGTGCATCGGGGAGGTCGTTTTTAACGATTATCCTTGTAATATTCTTGATAAGCGGGAAAAACTGGAAACGGTCCGTATGATTTTTGTCGATTTCTGAGTTACTTTGACAACAAGAGAAAATTCGACTCAAAAATACTCGGCTCGAAATCGTTTTCGTTATAGAATAATGACAATTTTAAACAAAATAAACAATAAATTTACATTTTAAAGATAGAAACGTTACATTCGTTCACTACGCGAGTATATTGTAGTATGTCTCCGAGGAGCAATTTGGTGTTAATTTATTCGTAAAAACTAAGTGCGTATACAATTCAATACAATTAAATTAATGTTAAAATTGATTTTGATGAAAAAATTCGAATACAAAATGAAAAACTACGATATATTATGCTATTTAAAAAAAAATTTAAGTACTATTTTAATTGTATTTTCACGTGTAATAAAAACTGTAATAATATTATTGTTCCGACGCTTGTATTCATTTTAAAATATGAGAATAGCGACGAAACTGTATTTAAGTTTTTAACTTACAAGCATATTTTGTTTTTTTTCGGAAAACACTTTATCAGTTAGTGAAAATGCTTTGGAAAATTATTCACATCGTAACTGAAAAGGTCAACCGTTGGTAAAGCTGGGCAAGTTAATGATTTTTTTCGACTAAATTAAATTTAAAATTAAATAAAGTTGATTCAAAATAACCTATCGATTCAACTGAGTGAGAAGTTAACCAAAAGTAAAACTAACTTTTTAACTCAAATTAATTAAAAAAAAAAGTGTTCATAAATTGTCTATTATTTTTCTTCTCTTCTTTTTCAACTTACCGGTCCATTTAGGACCAGCGCTACCGTCAAAATATCTCTCCGTCTATCTCTCTGAAACGCTGTTCGTAAGGTTGCGTTCTGGTCTATCGTTACTATATTTATGGCAACTACGTCAGTCCAACGGATTTTGGGTCGTCCTATGGGTCTCGTTTTATTTATTGTGTTAACTAGCACATTTTTAATTAGCTGCCCATCTGCTCTCCATGCACGCCCGAATCATTCTAATCGTTTTCTCTTAATAAAGAAGAGTATGTCTGGCTTATTATATAGCCTCCTTATATTTTCATTACTTCTTCTCCCGTTCACCCGTACGTCTGTACTTCCAGATTAAACATTGGCCCCTATATGGCTCATAAAACTTTCCCTTCGAACGTGATAAGTATTCTATTATCGCCTTTGATCAATGACCAAGTTCCGCAAACGTATGTGTTTACAGGTCGAAGGTAGTTTTATTACGTAGTAGTAACATTGATTTTCTAGATGACACCTTAGATCTCAGGAGCTTAATAATACTGAAATAAAATCTATTTCCACTCGTGATCCGTTCGCTTTTATCCATATGCATGTTATTTTTTTTATTGATGTGCAAGTATTTGAAACTTTCAACTTTTTCAAATTTATAATTATCAACATCTATAAAATCTATATTTGGGGCGGTATTTTCGAAACGACCGTGTAGTTATAGTTTTCGCTTCGTCCCCCATTCCTTTACTTGCATTTTTGTGATTGGATGTTGTGTTAATGAATCTTCCTCTTTGGTTTCACCCATTACCACAATATCATCTGCATACGCTAACAAAACCTGATCATTGCTTATCTCTATCATTCGGTCTTCGTTTGTGCCTTTTATTATTTTTTCGTAAGTAAAATAGTGCTGGTCAAAAAGCGTCTCCTTGTCTCCTTGTTTCAGGCCAGATTTAACCTCAAAAGGATCTAAGATGCCTCGCAAAAACCGCACTCTACGTAATGTTTTTCGTAACGTGTTTTTATCAAGTACACATATTTTTTAGGCATTTCTAAAATTACCGGTGGCTTCTAAAGCTCCTCTCTGTCTACACTATCATACGCCTGCTTGTTATCTACAAAGACTAGATGTAGGTACTTTCTGAATTCGTAGTATTTTGACATTATTTGTCCTAGTGCGAAGATATGGTCCGTTGTGGATTTTCCCCTTCTAAATCTGCATTTGTAATTCCCAACTATTTCTTCTGCATATGGGTTCATTCTTTCTAACGTCGGTGATGTCAACATTTTGTAGCATGTGTATAGCAATGAGATTCCTCTGTAGTTCTCTGTTTTAATGGGATTTCCCTTCTTCAATATTGGTCATACGATAGCTGTTTTCCATTCTTCTGGCACGGTCTTGGTGTTCTATGTCGCCTCAATAACTTCTCTGATTCCGCTTACCAATATTGTACCCCATTTTCAAAATAGTTCCACCATTATGCTGTTATCTCCTGGGGCTTTGTTGTTTTCAAGCCTCTTAACTAAAATCTCTTCATATTTGGGTACCTCTACATTGGCATATATTACCTACTACGATAGCCTAATAATCCTCCTACAACCCCCAACCGGCGACAACAGTAAAAAATAACAGGCATTCGTAAAAATTCATATTTTCGAATTAAATGTCTATTGTTCATAATATAATATTTATTTATATGAACATTGAAATAAAAATTTAAATCGACTTAACTTGTTTAAATGTAAAATTAACTCCAGTTAGTTGAAAGTAAATTCGTTTGTATTCCTCGAGTTAACAATTAAGTTGACAGTTCAAAAAAATATTAGTTACTTAATTTAGTGAAAAAGTTGAATCAACTTTAAACCCGACCTCACCTTGTTAACCCGTTAATGTCCCGGTGGTACTTTATTTGGAAAAATCGTCTACTCCCGATTTCCATCCAACAGCCCCGTTAACAAATCATACCGACAATTGTCAGTTTTTCCGATTGATTAAGACAACTACGAAGAACAAGTAGCCTTCTCAGTGCACCGAATAGATTCTAGAAATTCCGCGAGAACGTTCAACAAAGTTTTTGATTTGCGGTAGAACAACTAGGTATTATTGTTTAAGGACACAAAAGACGCATCATAATGAAAAAAAAAAATGAAAAAAATGAACCGTCCGGGTGAAAACAATTTTTATTGTACTATACGCGGACGCGACGCGTTATGTAATTTTCATTACGTCCGTGTTTAGCCGCGTCGAAAATCGGCCGCGCGCCACTGCACGAGACGTATCGGCGGTAGTTTGCGACGTTTACGTTTATCATAATATGATTTATAGTCACTACGCTGCGTACCGGTACAATACGATTACAATATCGGCTGTGGACCCGCGGTTAAGTGCCGACCCGGTCGGCAATTCCGCGCGTTACTTTAAACTAGTTTCGCGGCGAAAAAAATTAAAACATAGTGAGACACTGCCGTCGAATATTATTGTTGTAATATTACTCGATTGTCTCGTATGCGCGATATTGTTGCGTATGGAATTGCATAAAATTTAAAACGTTATGCAACATTACGGTCGGGGGTGGGGGGGGGGGAATTCGTACAACAATTCAATATAGCGCGTCGGCGGCGGCGGCGGCGGCGGCGGATCGGCGGGTTATGAACGCTAAATTTCTTTACTTTTTTTTTTTTAAATTTAGTTTAACGAACGTTATGTTTCGTCTCGACGTGCTCGCCGTACGAGTATAAACAATAATATCGATAACGGTACGGGCGCAGCGTCCGGTAAAACGGCGTACGACAGCGACCGACAAACGGTTCGGGAACGCGTCGTCGTTTGATGGGATATTGCGGACAATTTAATCAGTGTTCTTGTAAAACGCGCGCGCCGCTCCCTGCGGTCGGCTCGGCGGTCGGCACGTCGCCGGTAACCATTGTTCGACACGCACGCGTTTTTACCGCGTTGCGCTCGAGGGACGCGCGACCGCCTGCGCCGGACGCGTCCACCGTAAACAGCGTTTTCGCGCGACGAAACGCTACTGCGACTATGGATTCGACAGAGGAATCGAGTTTTCCACTGAGAAATGAAAAAACCGGACAAACAAAACTTGCACCGTACCGCGACGGTTGTGCGGTTTATCCGACAATAAAAACGCGAAGTGTGTTATTAATGTTTCGATAGCTGATCATTTGACTACTCGGTTCATTCCGGACTCGAACAACTTTATTACGCGCCATCGATATCGGAAAACTATAACCAACGGTTCGCGGTGCGTGCTCTCTTTGTTTTTTCGACGACAATTCCGTTTCTCAACTCTAAACGTCCGTAGCCCGAATAGCTTTTACGAAACGTTTTTTTGTAGATTTCGCGTTTAAAAAATATTGTAAATGTCATTTAATATTTTTAAATTTATGAAATTTCTTTTTTCCACAGGCGTCAAAAAAATTGCCTATACGCAGCCCTTTAAATGAAAGGGGGTTAAACGCGGCCAAAAATGCGCGTATAATATGTAACTGGTTTTGTAAATACTCTTCAAATAAAAATTTCTCTTTGATCTAGTCGATGTATTGGGAAGGTTCTTTTTTTTTTTAATTTCCCTTGTAGTTTTCCTAATGAATTTGAAAAACTGGCACTTTTCGTCGACTCCCACCTTGGCGACAATGGAATCGATGCCAACAAATATAAATTAAATTCTATATCCAACGTTCCAAATTTTCCGCCAACGACAGTGGCAGCACAGTATCTCGGTTCTTTTAGATTCTGAGCGTAGGGAGGAACGTATTGGTTTTACAACGATATTATTTATTCCGTGTGAACAACCTTTCAACCAGATATTTCGCTTCGAAGTGCTTTCAAGTGTAGCACTTTTTCTGTTGAGAAATCACACTGGGACGGTACCTTAAGGAGGTCATTTTTTTTGATTTTCCCAGAGTTTTATAAAATCGTCCGCGGCCGAAGAACCCTAACGGCGGCGGCGCGTAATAGTTTGTCGTCGGTTCGCGGACTCGTGGCGGGCGGCGGATTCGCCGCGAACGTAACCGCCTTTTTTCACGGGGTCGCGCGACATCGTACCGCGCACGGCCGTTTCCCCGATATACTAACGACAATAATAATAATATTAACACCGGACATCATTTTCATTATGTGCCGCAGCACTGCGGTGTACCGCCGGGAATCGCACGCGCATTATTACGCGGCGGCGGCGGCGGCGGTTAAGACCCTACGGTGTTATTACGGGACGGACAACAATGGCGCGTCGACGATTTAAAACGCCAAAGACCGTATAATAATAATAATAATAATATTTTTATTATTATTATATTATATTATAACCCCCCTCCCTTCCCCCTCCCCTCCGGACGGTTTCCGTTCCGACCGGTTTTCCGTGCAGCCGTGCGGCCGTTCTTCGCGCGCACACGCGCTCGTTTGTGTACGGCCGGCGCAATACTATTACAGTCGGTCCGGCACTCATACAGACGACGACGTAATCGTACGCGAAAAAAAAAAAAAAAAAAAAAACACCGAGTATAAAATCTGTTACGGACAATAATGAAATACCGATGCGATGCGCGAACCACCGCAAACACGACAGGTACCCGATAATATCGTTATTGCGGTAGTTGTGATGGCGCGTTTCGGGTAAAATATAAATTCGCCTATCCGATGCGGCCGGTGAGAAAACCGTATTGTTGATGCGCGATGTACCTGTTGTCTATAACGTCGCCCGGGACGCGCACTGCCAAAACGTAAACGATATAGTGCGCGCGTTTAATCGACCGGTTTCGTACGGGGCCGAATCGAAAACGAATACACCACAACGGGCGAAAAAGACGAAAAACAACAACAAAAAAAAAAAAAAACGGGGAAAAAATCGGTCAATAATTGTAAGTTCAGAAACGGATAACGTTCGGAGACCGCTTATACGGGCTGTTTTATGAAAGCGTACCCGCTTAGATTAGCGACTGCGCGAACCGCCCAGCGAAATATTCCTGTGTCCTTTGTTTGTATACGCGTACGGTGCCGAGACCGTGTACATTTCGCTAATACGCGCCCGGTACCTATCTGCGATATTATAATAATAACGAGGTAATATAATCAAAACGAGAAATTGTTAAATTCAGGAACGATATTTTACAGGAATTTGAGTAATTCGGGTGCGGTTTTTCTTAGGAAAATCGAGAAATTCAAATCGTTTACTCGTCGTTCGTTAATTTAACATTTTATGAGAAAATCTAGTAATTTCGAATTTTGTTGTAATTATTGATAGGATCGATGGCATTGTCAAAGATTTTTTTTTTTTTTATTTTAAGTATTTCGTAATCTCATTTTGAGTTACACAGCGTGTCCCACGATAATCTGCCACTTGAAATAACTTTTGTTCTATTCAATATTTTTGATACACATATATTTTGTTTTAAATAATTACTATAACTCTAGGCTACAGTTTATATATGAATATTTTTATTTTTTTTTTATGGGAAGGAGACTTGAAATATAAAGTTTAAAATTTATCGTCATTTTTTACAAAAAAAAATTCAAAAGGGCCATTTTGTAAAATAGATTTTTAGAAAACTGTTGGTTAGTACCGGTCCGAATGTCGTGCGAGACCGTCCGGACGTTGCGGGATGACGCCCGGGCGCGGTGATGCCGTGTCCCGCTGCGCCGGCGCGCACGGCGTTGCGTCAAACATTATCGTCGTGTCGGCCCGGGGTGACCGCGCGGTCCACGATGGCATTTAATATTGTTACGCCGTACGAGCGTCCGGGTGCCCGCGTATTCCAGACGGACACACCGCGCGCCGCAATCAGAAGACCGGGGGGGGGGGGGGGGAAAAACNTCGTTTTTTTTTTTTTTTTTTCCACGAAGATGATTTATTAGGGCGAACGAAAAGAAAACGGGCCGGCCGGCCGGTGTGGCGACCGCGACGACGACGATGATTATTGGTTTCGAACCCGGTCGGAATTCGGTGTGTGCGGTACCCGCGCCGCCGCCGCCGCCGCCGCCGCCGGGGCATGTGTTCCGCGTGTACATCGGACACGGCGCGACGCGTTCGAGAGAGAGAGACAGAGGGACAGAGAGAAACGAACGAATAAATAAAATAAAGAAATAAAGAAAATATTTCAACGTCGTCGCCGTCGCATACGAGAGCGTAAAAATATCTGTGTAGCGGCGTGTTATTATCGTATGCGCCCGCCGCGGAGGGCGAGGGCGTCGGCGGGGTGGGGCGGTGGGGGGGGGGAAGGGTTGGGCGGGGGGGACACGCGGACAGCGGTAAATCGAAACCGCGCCCACGCGT